CAACCTTTATAACGCACACTATAAATCACAGTGATCCACACACTTTACTTACGGTGCCTACTGTTCGCTTGATTCAATTATCTATCTCTTCAATCTATCTATATCTCTTCAATGGCGCTGGTTTTTCTCGCCAGGTTTATATACTAAAAAAAGAGGCGCCTTGAACAAACTAGAGTTGCCAGGAAAATTCATGATTCTTTGAGAAACTCCAGGGCGCATGCTCCCAGCGTCGCGTGACTTCCGCTGTCGTAACAATACCAATCTTTTAAAAAACATTTCTCACCAAGAAACTGACTTTTCAGATTTAACATTATGACGACGTTAAGTATACGTATGAGAAGTATGCTCAACTGCAGAAGATTCACCCATTTTTCTAGCTTATGCACATTATACCTCAACAATGAGTGAAATATTGTTACTCTAGGGGGTGATCGTGTTTCGCCAGCTTAGAATGGCATACAATATAATGTGACGTCTGAGAATGAGTGAAATGTCCTTACTCTAAAAATAACCACGTTTCACTAGTTTCGGCATAACATACAATATAGTGAAACGTCTAACAATAAGTGAAATGTAGCCAATTTAAAAGTGACCACATTTCACCAGATTCGACGTGATATTTAGTTCTGCTTAATTAAGTAAGTAGTTAATCGGGTTTTATAATTTAATCATTAATCAATAAAAATTTATTTTGAAAAAATTATTAAACTTAAACTCGTACGCCTCGTTAATCAACTTCAGTTTTTGTGGAGGAACTAGATGTTTACATCTCAGAAGAAAAAAAAAGGAGGAAAACAAAAGCATTGGATACAGAGACTTTATCCCTAAAAATATTGAAATGTATCAAGAGAGAAATGGCTCTCCAGATACATTAGAAAAAATATTTAATGCTGTGATGACTATTCATCCAATTAATGTAAAGGCAGAGGGAGAGAAGTTTTACTGCAGTTGGCCTCTTCGTTACAAAAGTGCGCACGTCTTTAAATGATAATACTATTGACAAGCGGTGTTTTCTTCAGTCTTATCTCATGCAAGATAAAAAATAATGAAAGTAATGGCTGTTCTAAAAAGAATATACGAATTCATTATAATATAAAATATTTTTAATGTGTTGTTTATTCCTCCAATTGGTGGTGTTGCTCCTTAGTCTAGATACAAAATTATGCATGTCTCTGAAAAATGATCCGATTAACAAGCTGTATTTTTATTGATGCTATGAGGTAAATGAAACAATAAAAGCCTTTCACCTTTTCAGGAATATTTAATTTTTAATCATTAATAATTTATACAAAAAACAACAACAAAACATTAACCATGCACTAGTAATATTGCAATGTAAACGTTTAGGTAGTTTTGAAAGTTTCAAATACGCAAGTATATTTGCTCCAGATCCTAGTTTTAAAATAAATTTGGAAACTTAAGTTTTATTCTCAGTAAACTAAATTGTGTATAAAATAAAGTGTACACAGTAGTGAATATGCTTATTTTTAAATAATCCGCGTATAGAAAATGAAACTCCAATGATTAAGTGTACTATTCAAAACTTGACAAATGTAACACATATGTAGTGTTATGTTCTGTTAGCTGTTTATAAGATATGATGGCATGTGGCTTTTCAAATGCAACATTTAATTTTGTTGCTATTTTATTGATTCTCACACAGCTGCCCCCAGTGGCACAGCGGAATGTCTGCGGACTTACAACGCTAGAATCCGGGTTACGATACCCGTGGTGGGCAGAGCACAGATAGCCCATTGTGTAGCTTTGTGCTTAATTACAAACAAGCAATCTCACACAGCACCAGCTAGTGGAGAAAACTAAAAAGAAATGTCAGTGCTCAGCTGTGTAGAGGCAGTGTCGGTTGCTTTCTGTTCAAACTGACAAACGCTTTGTATTATCAGTTATTTCTTGACACGTGACCGCCGTAGTGCGTCAAGTCATTTACAGGAGAGTGGAACTGTCAGTAACGTTCTTGAATATTGTATTATGAGATTCTGCTAACCTAACATCCCATCTTCTGATATAACAACTTTTGTCAAGTCGCGAGATTTTTCAACCCCTTTGGTGCCTCAGTGACAACACCACGTGACATTATTCTCCCACGACCACTTCAAAAGAGATTAAGGAGCTGATTTAAATACAAGTCGCTGTAGAAACTTCTATGCTACTTGAAGTACTTATTGCAGGCATGCGTAGACATCACTGTCAAAACAAATTAAACTTTGCACACTGTGAAATGTTATTAAACATTTTAACATCTATGTTGGATAAAGTTATTGACTGTTGATTATTAGTAATTAAGTTTGTACTAGTGTACAAAAGGATCGATTTTTATCAGTATGTACAATAGAAAAATAACAGCTTTGAATGAAATAAAACAATAGTAAACCTTTAGTAGTGAATCTTTTAATAAATTTTGAGTTTCTTATTTTATCATATTAGTATTTGAAATTAACAATGATGCCATAATACATTTCAATTTACTTGTTTGTTAGTGACTTGTGTGCTTGTTTGTTTATGACAGTGATAAATACAATTGATGCTAATTGAAAGTGTGAAGGCAGTATTATATTTTTCGACGTTAATTTTTAGTGGATTTTTTTGCATCTCTGTGCAATCTGATTTGAGTAATGCATGATTG